TAGAAGGAAGAAGGCTGGGGCGCCTGGGTGGCTCAGTTGGTTAAGCGTCTGCCTTTGGCTCAGGTCATGGTCCCAGAGTCCTGCCTTAAAAAAAAATGAACAGGTTCCCTGTTCAGCGGGGAGTCTGCTTCTCCCTCTGCCCCTCCTCCCACTCACTCTCTTAATTTCTCTCTCTCAAATAAATAAAATCTTAAAAAAAAAAAGGCTAACAAATTGGGGTACCCTACCCTGAGAGTTCAGAATCTTGACCTTTGAACAGTTTCAAGTAACAAGTCTAAGGCAATGATAGCAATTGGCGGAAGTGGAGTGGAAATGAGGGTAACTGGAATTGATGACATTGAATTTGAGACTGAGGAACTGTAGGGTCATCTTGAAATGTTTTTCATTAAATCAGGATAGTGATTTCACTAAAGGAAAAACCAAGGGTCTCTCTAAAGGTAAAATATGTAAAAAGGGCAGCAGTTGCGGTCACCAAGGCATGGGGAAGGCACTGGCCCAGTTGTTTAGTACCCTTTCATCGCACTTTGATACCTGGTCCCCTCCACATCAAGGCAGGTGAGATGACCTGTGGTGAAGCTGAAGTGGGGAGAAGTGGCAGATTTGGCTGGAAGGGCAGCTGTTAGATAAATTAGCCAAGGTTTTAATGAGCTTCACATTCCAGAAGTAAGCTATGACTTGTTCTCCTCATCTCATTGCTATTTTGGTGTGTGTATGTGTGTTAATGTGTGCATATATGCACACACACACTTAAGGAAAAAATAAGTCTTACTGATAGTATACTGACTTTAAGATACAGAAAAAGTCCAGTTAATCACAATGTGTCTTGTTTGTACTTTAATATGTTACTCTTAACTTCCCTGAGTTATGGGGCGTGAGGTGGGGCGGTAGGTGTAGGAATGAGAGACTGAACAAAGCTTCAAACATTTCTTTTCACATAGACAACTACAAACACGTATTTCTTTCCTGTCATTTTAAAAAGGTCAGGAAAACCTCAGAATTTCCGTATGTTGCATGGGATTTAAGGTCAGGATTTGGTGTCTAAGCCTTGCCAGTCCCTCCTTTGCAGTTGTGGTTGTAACCATAAGAGCCCTGAGGAAGAAAGCACCACTCAGCTCATAGCTGGAAGAGATGCCTCGACTGTATCACTTCTCAGCTAAGTTGTGATGGAACAACTTACGTTCCCATCACCCCCTACCTTTAGTAGAGAAAGCGTGGCTCAGGAAAGCCCCAAGTCCAGTTTCCCACCTTTTTTGGAAGAAAGGATGACAGGCCTGCACCCTAACAGGAAGAGTGATGGCACGTTTTCTGACCTGTTAATACAGTAACTCTCTTCATTTGTAAAACAGAGCCCAGAATCTTGGGCTCACTTCAATCTAGTTAGCAACTCCTTCTCCCTCAGGACAAAGGAAGGAGGTAGGTGGGGAGTAGAATTTCCTAAATAACTATGAATTCAGTCCACTTAACCAGGCCAGAGCCTTCAGTGCCACACAAAGTGTGTGGGTCTTTTGGTTTTAGAGCAATTCAGTGCTATCCTGAAGAAAAATTTCGTATGTCCTCATTTTTTAAAAAAAATTACAAGGTGCTAATAAGCATGTTAGGGAAGTGTCTTGAACCTTCCAGATCAACTCCACTACTAGCTGAGTCACTGAGTGACCTCATTCGATACGCTGTAGAGTACAAACCACCCAGCTGAGCCCTGGCCCACCAAATCAGGATATGTGAGAATATGGTGGTGCTTTTGAGTCACTGAGTTTTGGGGGTGATTTGTTATGCACCGATAACTGAAACATCTACTGTCCACCACCCATCACCTAAAATAATTTTGCCTTCCTCACCATTCATGTTAAGTATTTACTGAGAACTTTTTTCCACTTCAGAACCTCTCTCCACTGTTATCCAACTTCACATTTCCTAAGTTCATTTTGAGGTTTTATTTCTTTGATAAAACACTGATCTGCTATGACATTTAATTACAGGTCATGCTATTAACCCTGCTTCTTGGAAGCTATTAGTAATTGGAAGCATTCCTTCTTCACTTTTAAATTAGAAACACTTCTTCCTCACTTTTAACTTGTGCAATCATGAGAAGACCTGCATTTTACATCTCAATTGGTCAGATGCTTGTTAGAAAGCATTTTTTGTTTCAACCCTTACTGAAATCTTTCAGTAAAATGTTCTAGGTTATCACTCTGAACAATAGTTGTCAGTGATTGAGAGACTGAACTGAAAAGTACATACCTCAGAAGTGGTATTAACATTTTTGTCATTCGATGTTTTCTTGTACCTTACCAAGAGTGGGATCCTGTAAGTTTATCCCAGTTACTGAAGGTTGTATTGAACCCCCTTTTTCTTTTTCTTTAAAATCCTGCCATGTATCCTCTGGGCAGCCAAGTATAGCCTCTTATCAGACATCCTTTTATGGGGACCCATGAGAAGTTTCTCAGGTCTTAGGAATACTGGGGTTTCTCTAAAGCAGTTAGTTTTTATCTTCTAATAATAGTGAACACAGAACTGATTTTTATGTTAGATACTAGGAAGCTCAGGGCCCACCTTTACCAACTGTTACACAGTTTCACAGAATCATTTTACTAACTTTACCCTGGCTCCATCTGATTTCTTCCACTGTCCTTTTCCTCTCTCCCTAATTTCCTCACTTAACAAACTAGTTGTGTTACAGGCATTTTAATAAGTGGTCTTAAAAGCAGTGTGCAGCAAAAAAAAAAAAAAAAGCAGTGTGCAGCAAGATGGGGTGTTTCAGAAATCTTTCGAGCTCTTAACAGTATTTTAAAGGCCCTTCTTTCATTCACACTCTACCATGTCCGCACTTTGTATGCTTTGTAATGCTTCTCAGTTGAGGAGTCAGGGTACTTCCTCATAGTCAGGAAGCCTTAGACGAGTTCTAGTAAGTGAACCTTCAGTGACACAAGCCAAAAATCACTAAAACCTGCTTCTCAACAGAATTGCTTTGCTTAAAAAACCAAGGAAAATACATCCGTTATTCAAATATCCAGATATTTGCAGAAGGCTGGGAACACTAAGACTTCCTTCTGACCTTTACCTGTAATTATACTTTGTTACTCTTCTTTAGTTTTGATGATTTAAAATAAATTTCTGAAGATCACATTTGAGATGAAGAAGCTGTATTAGCAGTTTCAGTTCCTTAAAATAAACATTAACAGAGGTGACTTTAAATGATTTTTAGTTGAATCATTTCAGTTTATTTCACTAAGTACTTTGTAATTGTTAAAAACTCTATCTTGTTCTAAGTGGCTTACAAAAATGCATATAGTGAAATAAAATTAAAAATGAATCTGTGGAGACAACAAAAGAGAGCATGTTAAAATGTAACTAAAAGTAAATACTGAAAACACATACATCTAAGGTGGCTTAAGGACAGAGCCGGACTTAGAGCTTAGGCTCAGTTCTCTTTCCTTAGCACTGCCTTCTAATCCAGAAAGCTCTAATGCTGCTTTTTGTGTGGCAAAGATTAGAGGTCACTAATGTTGTTTTACTTGTAATACAAACCGTAACATCACAAATATGTCATGGCTGCAGTTTTCAAGTACCAAATAATTCAACCTATAGTAGCATTCATGAGTCAGAAACCATCCCAAAAATCATATGGTAGGTAAGAAGTTGATCCACGCCTTGACCCTGAGAAAAACTGGGTAAGTCCTCAACTTTCTGTGCACAGAGACATCAAACCAAATGATTAACAATTTTGAGTGTTCTTACGGCAGAGTAGCATGAGTTGAAGCAATGTTCTGAGAACGACTCCTTCTGGAAGAATATGCAAAGGGTAAAACTAACTATTACTTCTTCTTCTTGTTTTGGTATTTAATTCTTTCATAGCGGGTCCTTATTTTACCCAGTGGAAGGCAAAACTTAATATTCTTGGAATAAAAGTTTTTCTGTAAAAGAGAACAGATAAGATACTTGCCTAACTCCATCTATGAATATCATTGTCAGTTCTATTACTAGGTTGGTTATGATCCCAAGCAATAAATACAAAATACGAAATTTTATATTTACTGAAATCCCAACAGTTTGCTGGGAAAATAGAGGTTCCATAAATAATGATATTAAAGGAAGAACCCACTAAGAAGCATTACGAGAAATGGCCAACACTCCTTAGGTACCACAAAGAGATTAGTCAGGATGTATACTGCTATTGGAGATGAAATAAACTGAACCACTTTAAAATTATGTCTGACCAAGTTAAAATTATACTGATTTAATAAGCCTAATTCACCTGGAACACAACACTGACTCTGGATAAAATTAATCTTTCCTCCTGTTTCATTTCCTAAAGAAAACAGTTCTCTTGCTTCGTCCACCTTTAACCCAAACTTTCTAGGAAGTCTTCATTACCTTTTTAAGTCCTTTTTATATAGCTTCATTTAGTTCTTCTGTCATATACTAACATACATTTGCTCCAAGAATACTTTGGTTTCAACTGTGACTTTTATGCTCACAACAAGCAGATTTCTGTATCCCAGCTTTACCAATTTTCTGGACCTGAACTTAGAAAAGGGCATTTCGGGTATACTGTATCCCCTCTACACACAAACACACATGGCATTTCTGGTATACCATCTCCCCCTACACACACACACACACACGCACGCGTGTGCTTACTCTATTGTTTAGCTTTGTTCGTGTAATTTTAAAGTTTTCTGTATATATTAACAAACTTTATACCTTCTAAATGTTTTTAATTCAATTTTCTTCAAATAACCAAGTGTTGAAAACTTTACAAAAATGTTATTCATCTTAAAATGGTTGAGGTTTCCCTTTTTCTCCCTCAAAGGGTCTAAGCATGGGTGGATCTTTTGTAGACACACCTGTTTTTATCCCAAAGAGTATATGATTGATTTGCCCTCAAGTTAACTTTTTTCAAACAGGGCCAGTCTATATTAATTTGTATGATGATGTTAATTTTCAAAACATCTTGAGTAAATAAAGGGAGATATAAAATACTGTGGCTTGCTTGGTGAATCTTAATTGCGAAATTTCTTCTTCTTTCGAAACTTCTTTCCTGCTGCATTTGCTGCTTTTTCAGCCATGATCTCTGAGTACTTCCTTCGGTTATATCTAAAAAGAAAACCAAACTTTTAAGTTCTAAAGTATAACAGAAGTTAATGTAATGGGGGTGGTGATGGGGTGATGTAACTACTAAATCTCAAAAAATTGTTTGCATTTTCACTATTTTAGCATATTTGTACTAAATTACCTTGTGGAGCCATATTTGGAGCTGGGGGACTGAGCAGTGACCAAGACAACCATAGTCCCTACCCTCGTAAAGCCTGCAGTCTAGTAAGAAAAAAATGGCAACTATAAGGGAGGGCTTTTGAAAACTTTCAACCACTGGAGGCCCATGTACCATATCCAGTTACCAGATGATATCAAATGCTTTAAAGATTTTTATAGGATGAAAATGTAAAAACAACAGACTGATGTAGAAGCAGGTATGAGGCTCCAACTATCTTTAAGCCAGACATTAAAGAGATCTGCAGTAAATTTTTGTTTTGTTCATGAAAATATATGTCAATGTGTAATGGGATGTTTTATTTTAAAAGGAATCAATAAATATTTTTAAAGTTTTTAAATTTTAATTGCCACTGTGGCAAATATTGATAAATGTAGTCCACAGAAGTTCAAAAGAAGGGCTTATCAGTACAGTTTGAACCTAATCAAGGATGGAAAAAATGAGATTAGAGCAGAAATAAAATAGAGATAAAAAAAACCAAAAAAGCCAGACTCATCAAGAAAAAAAAGAACTCAAAATCAGATATGAAGAATTAACAGACGCCACAGGAATACAAAGAATTACAAGAGGATACTATGAAAAAGTATATGCCAATAAATTGGGACAATCTAGAAAAAAAATGGATAGATTGCTAGAAACAGACAATCGTCTAAAACTAAATAATCAGGAAGAAATAGAAAATTTTTTATTTTTTTTAAAGATTTTATTTATTTGAGAGAGAGAGAATTAGAGACAGCACGAGAGGGAAGAGGGTCAGAGGGAGCAGCAGAGCCCCCGCTGAGCAGGGAGCCCGATGTGGGACTCAATCCCGGGACTCCAGGATCACGACCTGAGCCGAAGGCAGTTGCTTAACCAACTGAGCCACCCAGGCGCCCAGGAAGAAATAGAAAATTTGAACAGATCTATTACTAGTAACAAAAGTGAATCAGTAATCAAAAGACTCCCAACAAAATTCAAGACCAGATGGATTCACAGCTGAATTCTTCCAAATATTTAAAGAAGAGTTAAATACCTATTCTTCCCAAACTATTCCAAAAAATAGAAAAGGAAGGAAAACTTCCAAATTCATTTCACGAGGCCAGCATTTCTCTAATACCAAAGCCAGACAAAGACACTACAAAAAAAGAAACTACAGGTCAATATGCCTGATGAACAAAGACGTAAAAGTCCTCAACAAAATATTAGCAAACCGAATCCAACAATACATTAAAAACATCATTTACCACGATCAAGTGGGATTTAATCCATGCATGCAAGAGCAGTACGATATTTGCAAATCAATGTATATTGACAAGAAAAGAATAAAAACCGTATGATCATCTTAATAGGTGATCAAAAAAAAAAAAAAGCAAACCATTTGTTGAGGTGTCTAGGTGGCTCAGTTGGTTAAGCGTTGGGACTCTTGATTTTGGCTCAGGTCATGATCTCAGGGTAGTGAGATCAAGCCCCGTGGTGGGCTTCCTGCTGGGCATGGAGCCTGCTTAGGATTCAATCTCTCTCCCTCTGACCACCGCCCCCCATCTTTTAAAGAAAGTCAAAGTGCAACATCCATTCACGATTTAAAAACTCTAAAAATCTATAAAAAAAATTATCAAACTCAACACCCAAAGAACAAATGATCCAATCAAGAAATGGGCAGAAGACATGAACAGACACTTTTCCAAAGAAGACATCCACATGGCCAACAGACACAGGA